TCTTGAGACTCTTCAAGATAGGTTCATGTGTTTATTTTTATGCCTTCTTTAACGAGTAATCTCAAGTTCTGACAAGTTTGAACATAGGTTTAATCAAGATTGTATCATCTTTAGTTCATATGTGTATCAAGGTGTTTTGAAAAGCGAGAAAAGATCAGTTTTGCAAGTTGGTTCAAAGTTAGTTTGACCAAAAGTCAACATTTGCAAATTCAAGTTCAAACGATCATAACTTCTTCATTATTCATTATTTTTGATCGATTCTTTGAGCATATAAATCTCCTTGACACCATCTTTAGTTTCTCTTTACAAGTCAAGAGCTAATCATGTGTAGAAGGCTATCAAAATTTGAATCCATTAGAGGTCGTTTTGTGGACTTTGACCTATTTTCAAGTGACATTCGTCCAACTTTCAAGGATCATAACTCTCTCAGTTTTCATCATTTTGGGACCTTTTTTTTTGCATGACACTCTTCAAGATGTTATCTACAAGTTTGCTTCAAGGAGAGAAAGTGAATTATGCTTAGAAAACCATGAAATTAATGAAACATTACGGGTCACTTTTTTTTGGGCTTAATAATTATTTTGACATATAATTTACATTTATGACATGAGTGCTCCTTCAAGATGTTGATTTCATGTGTTGAGGTAGGCACCAAGTTAAAGTATTTTTTGCTATGAATGGGGATCTCACCAACTTTTCAAATGGAATTTGTTTGGTGTTTGGTTCATGGTTATGAAGTTTCTTTCAAGCTTAGTTCAAGAGAAATTCGTGATTATGGTTGGTTTGGAATTCAAAGTTGTTGATTAAAACACATTCCAATTTCCTCAAAAAGAGGTTAATTCAAAGAAGTTCAATTTCATCTATGAGAATTTCTTCAAACGGAAGTTACTAGAAATTTAAGGCATTCTTATAGTGCAAATTTTCAAGATTCTCAAAGGTTGCATAGAATTATCATTCAAGACCTAATACATTAGTTCATCAAAGATATATTCAACAAAGTTCAAAATGTTCAAATCAATTTCATCCAAGATATATTAAAATTCAAGCTTACATGAAATTCATCACAAGGCATAATTAATTCAAGTCCGTGTCTCAAATTCAAGAGACTTATACCTTGAGGAAAATTCAAAAGAATTTAAATTGCACCAAAGGAATATTCAAATTTTAGATACATTACATCAAATATTTCCTAAAGCCTAATGTGAAAATTTACAAGGGAATTCCAATCCTCCATTCCAAATTCCAAACCCTCCCTTATATTGGTGTTTTGTCTCTCTTTCTCATATTTTATGGGTGATTAGGCGAGCCTTCTTCCTAAAAATGACGACTTATCTCTTCATTTAAAATCAACCAACACACAGTTTTATTCTTTTTAAGAAGAACTACGAGTGCCCTGATCCTTTATGCACGAAGGGGGTACGTTGCACAAAGATTCGTAACCACGACGGGTACACAAATTGTAAAAACCACTTCTTTTCTTATCTCCACCATCTCATTTTGTAAATATTTATTTAAAGTCAAACACACAGATTTTCAAAGAGGTTCCTGCGGAGTACTGTAGATGTTTATGGTGCTAACACCTTCTCTTTACATAATCAACTTCCTTACCTTGATCTCTTTCTCTCTTGGGTTTTATTCGCTCTTTTCTCTTTCCTTTAGATAAAATAAAGTGTGGTGGTGATTTTCAATTTATGAGTTAAATCAATCAATGACTTAGTTTCAAATTTTTATCGCTACACCAGAAGGCTTGAAAATAATTGCAGATATCAGAACTTGTAATGCTCCAAGATTTTTAGTAAAATCCAGCTGGACCCATAAGAACCTGGAGATTTCCAAGGGCCATTTTAGTAACAGCTTGCTTTATCACTTCTTCCTTCAACCTCACATTCAAATGTTCAACCAGATGTCTCTCAATACTAGGGACTTCCACCTCCATATTAGTAGTGTACAACTGTTGATATCAGTCTTTGAAGAACTTTTTAATTAGTTCAGTATCTTTACTCCACACTCCATTACTTATCTTGATCAAACCTTATATTTCCGTTAACATCTTTCGCAATTGTTATTATATATGCTTTTCGTAGTAATGAATAATACATCTAATAGATCAAGGTGTTTGGTGTCCAACTCATTGTGGTGGAGGGGTTGAAGACAACAAACATTTTTTCTTGAAATTTCCTAAGAGTATTGAATGTGGGGAACAAGTGAGACTATGGCCTATCATACAACAAATGTTGAGTGATAACACTTTTTTGTAACAAGAGTTTTTCTCCTTTGCATGAAGTAAATCAAGATCAACAAGCACTCTTCTCAACGATACTCTGGAGACCAAATGTATTGCCTAAAAATGTTGCCAAAGTTTACTCATCCTCATAGCATTAATGTTACAAAACTCTTGATCATTAATTTATATGGAATACATTTGGTTTCAAGCATCCTCAGAGCATTAATTTGTAGCATTAAATAAAATATTGCCTAAAAATGTATTTATAAGAAGACATTTCATATCATTTTTAAGATGATACCAAGAGTCTATATCCAAATTCTAAATTCTTATAAAAAACAGAATTTATGATTTCTCTTCATCAAACAAAACAGAATCTCTAGTCTGTTTGCTAGGATTGTTGATCCATTACCTTCACAAAAACTGTTACTAGTAGTTGATGAAGAAGGTGAAATGCAACCATTTGAACCTATTGAAACATTTCCATTTCCATATGATCCTGGAACAAATTGCAATCCAATGTTTGGAGTCAAAATGTTCGTGACCGCGACCACCGGCGCGTGACACCACTGCATTGCATTAGGATCAATTCCAAAAGGGTTACACATCTGCATTGAAGATTGAACCATGGAAGTAACATTGTTCCACCTTTGATTCAATGGAACTATCCATGAAGATGAAGGGTAACTCTGCAAATGTTTTGGCATATTATGTTCTGATTCGGATAACTCGTTTCCTCGAGTATAACCATTTGTCACAGACGATACACATAACGACGATTCTTCATCTCCGTTTTCTCTACAATTGTTACCACCACCTGCATCAAGATTTCTCTTTTGGTTCATTAGATTAAGCATCGGCGTTCTTGACTCGTCGAGAGATACATTTCCTCGACCGAATTTAAGGACAATACCATTATCATTAGTGATATGCTTGTTCTTCCGTCTCCCTGCACCGACAGCAACGTTTCTCATCGTTCCACCTGCTGTCCAATACCTATGACAACTCCGACAGAAATGACGAGGCTGGTTGACATTGTAATTGTTGAAATAACAAAATTTCGTGTCGAAACTCTTGCATCTCGGACACTGAACAATCTTGTCCGGTTTCTTTAGGATTTTGTCTTGTTCTTTGCTGCTTGTTTCAATGTTATCTTCCACAGTGGTGGTAGTAACTTTTGATTCATTTTCTTCATTAGAAGAATTCTTCGATTTCTATAAAATGAAAACTACAATCAGGATCTATGAAACACAGACACCATAAATATGACATGGACACTGACACAAATACACAGACAGAAACACACTATTTCAGACGTGTCGGTGTTAAATATGACACGGATACAACAGAAACACACCGAAATATGACACTGACACATATATTTCAGAGGTCTCGGTGCTACATAGTCGCGACAAATCATTAAGAGTATCATAAAAAAAAATGCAACAGATCCAATCTGATATCAGAAGATTCATAACAAAAAAACTACAATATGAAGAAATTAACCAAATATATGACCTATAATTTCCTCTAAAAAAATTATCAACTTCACAAACCCTAATCTCAATTTATTAAATTCAACTATGAACATAAAATTAAATTCTCAATCATAATTTTACACTAAAAAATAAAAATAAAAAATAAAATATTTATATACCATGGTTGTAGAATTGGCCTGAACCTGAGAACTCACCGGAAGATGATATTCCGGCACCGGAATCTTCTTACCAAAGAGCATGAAACATGAATCATTAACACACATGTCACCTTCACCATTCATTTTTGATGTTGTTATTGTTGTTGTTGTTGAAATTTATGATGTTTCTAAATAGCTTCAACACACATAAATAAATAAATATATAAACAGAGAAAGGTGTAGTAATGAAATGAGAAAAAGAGAAAGTGTTTGGTAAAAAAAGTGAAAAGCTTTAATTTGACAGAACTTTTCAAAGGAAAAAGTTTGCACTAAAATACCCCACACACATAAAAGACTTTGAAAATTAAAAGTCACACTGCAAAAAAAGTACAAAAGAACAAGAGCCATCATAAATTAAAGACAGTACTACCATCTTTTTATTATGCTTTTATTTTTTCATTTGTTTTGTCTTTTACTTCAATTAAATATTTAAATTATGTTTGGTTCTACTTTAAAAAATTCAAAAGTTATTTTAAAAGTATATAATTTATTGTCTTTCAAATTTTCTTTAGAATTTTAATAAAGTTGGAAACTAATTTTTATTTTATTATAGAATTGATTTTTAAGCTACATTTATTGTTGAAATTATTTTTATAAAATGTATTTAAATATTAATTTTAAAACTTAATCTTACTTTTATTCATAATAAATATTAAAAATTTTATTTTTATAATATAATATTTGTCGCCACATGTTAAACACATCAAATTTTGAATTAGTTGAAAATGCAACCATGATAAAATTGAAAGATGAATTAGATTAATTTTTAATTATGGAAAACTATGTTGCTTCAGTCCTAAATATACCTTAATAAATATTTAAATTAGTTTTTTAACAAAAAAATTCTGACTTTGAGAAAAACATGTTTGGCATGCTTTATTTTAGAGTTATGTAGTTTTTATGAGTTTTGACTTATTTTCTTATTAAAAGTAAAGTTAAAAACAACAGCTTAGATACAATATGGAGAAAGTGTTTCTTTTACAACTATCAGACAATAATAAAATTAAAAAAGAAAATAAGAAGTTGGAAATTCTATCGAGTGAAATTCACCATTGTAACAAATAGTTTCTCGGTAAAAATATTTGATTTTATATTTTCAGTTTTGTTAAAATCTATGAGAGATAACACTTTAAAATAGAAACAAATAAATATTATAAATATATTAAGATATGATCATTTTAACCGCAATAAAAAGAAATCAATATCAACAAGTAACAAATATCGAAGAGAAACTCAAACTGACATGTCATTCTCAATATTTAGTTGAAATAAAGATTTATCGATCAAAGTTACAAGAAAATTTCGACCATAAAATTTTCTTTTAAAAATTTGTTTGAAAGTTGGTTTTTGGAAGAAATTTTTTTTGAAGGATTGTATTTATATTTTGAAATATATTTGATATTTTTAAAAATTTTAAATAATAATATAATTTATATAATAATAAAATATATTACTTTTAAAAAATTTAAAAATATCAAATATATTTTAAATTATAAACGCAACCATTTAAAACAGTCATTTTTAAAAAATCATCTGAAAACTAACTCACAAACACAACATTAAAATTCACAATGAAACCACCATAAAATAAAAGTCATATGCTACTAAAATTTTGTTAGAAATTCATCAAATTCTATGATGAATTTCTACCACAATGACAATTTAATTATGAGACAAAGAAAAAGACAAGACAAATAATTTCTGCATAGTTTCTCTCTGTTCACAAACTGTGAAAACTTTATTATTCACTTTGCAACTGCAAAATACTGTGAATGACTTGCTTGACTTGCTTACAAAAATAGGGGTTACCCCCTCTATTTATAACTGAGCTTACACCCTAAGCCCAAAGCCCAAAATATCTATTTTGTTACTAAATCAAATCTAATCTATTCTAGACTTAAATCAAATCTATTTAAATCTAAACAAATCTAATCTTTTCGATACTATGAATCACAATTTAACACACCACATAATTCATTGTGTAAACTATCTATATTCATCATGGCTCTTAGCCTTCTGAATACTTCGACTTGCACTCCCTTCGTCATGATATCTGCAATCTGATTCTCAGTTCTGCAGTGTTCCAAATTCATCTTTCCATCTGCTACTTGCTCTCGAAGATAATGGAACTTCATTTCGATGTGCTTACTTCGACCATGTGCTATTGGGTTCTTCGCCAGATTGATAGCTGACTTGTTGTCGATCTTCATGGTAATTGCTCCATGATCTTTCTCTGTTATCTCTTCGACCAAGTTCACCATCCAAGTTTCTTAACTTGCACAAAGAGAAGCAGCTATGTATTCTGCTTCGCATGATGATAATGCCACTACTGGTTCCTTTCTTGAATTCTAAGTAACTGGTGCACCACCTAGCATAAATATATATCTTGCTGTTAACTTTCGATCTTCAGCATCACTACACCAACTCGAATCAGTGTATCCCACTAACTTGCATTCTTTTCCTTTATCAGCTGCAGGAATCAAAATGCTATAATCGAAAGTTCCTTTGAGATACCTTCGTATCCTCTTCACTGCTGCTAGATATGATACCTTTGACTTCTGCATGAATCTACTTACCATACCTACCATGTATGCTAAGTCAGGCCTTGTATGACAAAGATATCTTAATGACCCAATAAGTCTTCTGTATTGGGTTGGATCAACATCATCTTCATCTGTATCTTTCGATAGTTGCAATCTTGGTTCTGCAAGTGTCGAAGTTGGGTTGCATTCTTCCATCTCAAATCTATTGAAAATTTCTCCTGCATATCTTCTTTGATGCATCATCAAACCTCTATTGCTCTTTTAGAATTCGATTCCAAGGAAATATGAAATCTCACCCAAGTCAGACATTTCGAATTCCTTGTTGAGATCACCTTTGAAGTCTTCGATCTAACTTTTGCAGCTACCTGTTATCAATAAATCATCTACATAGAGACATAGTATAAGAAATTCACTATTGCTTCTTCTTACATATACTCCATGTTCAGTTGTTCACTTTACAAATTCCTTCTTCCTTAGGAAACTATCAATTTTCTTATTCCAAGCCCTTGGAGCTTGTTTCAATCCATACAGGGCTTTATGTAGCCTGTATACCTTTCTCTCTTTGTTATGTTTCACAAACCCAGCTGGTTGTTTAACATAGACTTCTTCGTCTAAGGGTCCATTTAGGAATGCATACTTCACGTCCATCTGACATATGTGCCAACTATTTATTTCTACTAGACCAACAACCAACCTGATTGTTTCGATCCTAACAACAGGTGCAAAAACTCATTGAAGTATATTCCTTCTTTCTGTAGAAATCCTTTTGCCCCAAGCCTTGCTTTGTGTCGAGTTACTTCACCTTTCGAATTCGTTTTCACTTTGTATACCCAATTGACATTAATTGCCTTCTTGCCTTGAGGCAATTCGACAGGTGACCAAGTGTTGTTGTCTTCGATAAACTTCACTTCTTCATTCATTGCTTTCACCACTTCGAATCCTTCAATGCTTCAGCTGAATTGACAGGTTCGGCATCTGCATAGAAAGCATAATGTACAAGCTCACCTTCATCATCTATCACATCATCTGATGTAATCACACAATCTTGCAGGCATGCGTCTTGTTCTTTGAGGCCTGCTTGTACTTGGTATATTTGCTGGTTCCTCTTGTCGAACTTCTCTTTCAGTTTGAGTTTCTGGCTCTTCGAGTAGGATTCCCACTGAGTCTTTCTTGACATTTTCAGTCCAATCCCATTCTTTAAACTCATCTATGATCATGTCCCTGCTTATCACAATTTGCTTTTTCACTCGATCGAAAAACTTTTAGCTTCCTGTCGAATGATATCCAACTAGAATCATTTGACTTGACTTGTCATCAAGTTTTCTTCTCAACTGATCTGGTACATGTTTATGTGCAATAGATCCAAATACCTTCAGATGACTCAAGTTAGGCTTCACACCAGACCAACATTCTTTTAGAGTAATTCCTTCTAGCTTCTTTGTAGGACATCTGTTTAAAATGTATGTTGTAGTCGAAACAGCTTCACCCCAAAACTCTTTAGGTAAATTCTTGCCTTTCAACATACTTCTCACCATATTCATGATGGTTCAATTCTTCCTTTCTGCAATTCCATTTTGTTGTGGAGTATAGGGTGGCACCACCTCATGCACAATCCCTTCCTTTCCACATATCTTGTCGAAGTCTTTCGACACATATTCTCCACCACCATCAGTTCTCAAAACTTTGAGCTTTCGACCACTTTGTCTTTCGACCATAAACTTAAACTTAGCAAATACTTTAATCACTTCACTTTTCTTCTTGATCAGATAAGTCCACAGCTTTCGAATGAAATCATCTATGAATGTAACAAAGTATTTGTTACCTCCCATCGAATCCACCTGGATTGGTCCATATACATTAGAGTATATGACTTCAAGAATAGCCTTCGATTTGCTTCCTGCATCCTTGCTGAAGCTATTCTTGTGTTGCTTCGCCTGTACACATTCCTCGCATACTTCATTTGGAATGTCAATTTCAGGAAATCCTGAAACCATATTTTTTCTTTTCAAGTCTCTGATGTCCCTGAAGTTGAGATGGCCTAGTCTATAATGCCATATCCATTCACCTCTTCTAGTTGCAGTCGAAAGGCACTTGTGCTCCATCACATTTAGTTCAATCTTGAAGGTTCGGTTCTGAGACATATGAGCCTTCAAGATTAATCTCCCATTTGCATCAACGACTCTCATCATCTTATCTTCGATTGAAACTTTATAATTCTTTTCGATCAACTGCCCTATACTGAGCAAATTTCTCTTCATGCCTCGTATGTACAACACATTGGATATTACTGACTTTTTATCATCTTTCCTCATAATCATAACATCACAAATACCTTCAGCTGCTAGGGTATTGTCATTTGCAAATTTTACCATATTTTTCATTGAGGGCTTTATGTTGACAAACCAGTCTTTCCTTCCAGACATATGTGATGAATATTCTGAATTCAAGTACCATTGGTCCTTGAATCTATCTTCATCTTTTGTTGTGACCATCAGTATCATCTCTTCTTCTTCATGTTTTGCAAGCTTTACATCACTTTCT